GATCAAAGTTGCGAGAAACCATGGGAAACTCATGAACAATCTCGGGAACTTCATCATTAGTTCATCAAACACTGATTTTTCATGCATCATCATCATTTTTATGAGATATTGATGTGGCAACAAGTTCATCATTTTGTCGGCAACATCATTTGTTCATCAGATACTAATGCTTTATTCACGAGAATCCACTGCTTTTACTTTTCATAATAGAAATCATCATGTGTCCTAATCACTGTTGATTCCGAGACTGCACAATCATTTCAAGTTGACACTGAGTTTGGGTTTTAGTGCACTGAAGCACAATGTACCAAGTTCCTAAGTTCTCTTCAAGTATAAGGGTAGAAATTATTAGATATTAGATTTTTAAACCCAAATAAAATTGAGTTGTATCAATGGTGAGTTTCAGCCTTTATAATTTGATATCAAGCTGAAATCCCTTACAACTTCAGAGCAGAAGGCGCTCCCGGTGCTGCAAATGGGTGAGATCCCTATTGTGCTGCAGGAGCCAGAAGGATTGGACAACAAAGATGGCCTCCCGATTTGTCTCTTACATCAGTCAAAGAAGTTCCAAAAGCGAGTGGCGAACCTCAAAACCATTGTTGGGTTGTCAGACTCTGAAGATGGGGAGGGGGACGAGCGCAGTAAAGATGCTGGTGCTCATCCAGCTAGCCTTCGAAAAGCAAAGTTGGATGCAGCTGAGGGTGGCCAAGGCAATGGCGATGACAATGACGACGACAAAGAGGAAGAAGAGGCCAATGACAGTACTCAAATCAACACTTCAAAGTCCAAGCTTGCGCAGGACAAAATTCCAATGTCTTCCAAAACTTGCGAGAGGATGGACAGTATGCCCAAACGACAGTCACGTAACTCTGGGAAATGAAAACGCTCCGGTGAGTCTGATACCGAGGAAGAGATGCGGTCTCGTACAAATGAGGTGAGTTGTACATGATATTCACTTTACAGGATTCTAATATCATGTTTGGATACAGAAAAAAAGGAAGCCTTCACAGCAGCACCTCCACTCCACTGATGCGAACTCGCGGAGGCCCAGTGCTGCAGATCCTGCGTGTAAGATGCGCCAGGACAAGTTAAAGGCGCTCAGTTGGGCAAAACAGTCAGATGCTGGCCCAAGACCACCCCTGAAGCGTAAGGAGAGGCCAGAGAATCATGGTGTCGACAAAGTGGCTAGCAGTTCTAAAGCAAAAAAGTGCTAGTTACATAGTGAAGGTGTTGTTACTTCTACAGGTCTACTTCTTTTTTTTTTTTGTTTGTTTAGCTTGTTCTTTAACCCTGTACCATACCGTAACTTTACTTACCATATCAGTCGTTACTCGGTACATATCTTGAATGAAAGAAGTTTACTTCAGATTATACAGTGAGACCTTAATAAATACTTGTAATTACAGGGACCTGTATTTGCCATTATGGTATAGCTTGACAAGAGTCCTTGAAACTAAAATATTCTATGTATGTTTTGCTTAACATTATCGTGTGTTTTTGTACTCCTTATGTAGCCTAAATGTAATGTCTGTTTGAGGGAACAAAAATACAAACTTCTTGAGGTCAATAGTGGGCAGCTGCCTGCTCTGAAAAATGAATGGCGGGCAGCTGCCCACTCTGAAAGATAAATGACAGGCAGCTGCCCACTCTGAAAAATGACTGGTGGGCAGCTGCCCGCTCTGAAAAATAAATGGTGGGCAGCTGCCCATTTTTATTGTGTAATGCCTTTTCTTAAAAGGTGGAAATATATAGTTGGAAGCCTTTAGATTGTAATGAAGACACCATGGTCTAGCTGGTTAAGACATCCATAACAAGTTATCGAAAGGAAATATCATCCTTGTTTATGGAAGGTGAGGGTTCGAATCCCTCTGGTGTCATTTAATTTGATTGTTTTGACTGAATTATTTTTGGCCCAAAATTACTTCATGGTTTTCAGTGTCAATAGATTTTTCTTGATAAAAGGGATATTAATTTGCTTGGGCTGCTGCTTACCTTGTAAAAGAGTACCTGC